ATCCTGAAATAAAAGGATAGCACACTAGAAAGATGTGCAAGCAGGGAACGCACTAAGGCCTGGGGACAGGTCAGCGGAATTGGAAGTAGCCTGCAATGCTGGTAGACCGCGCTTGGAGGGTGGGAGGGCAGAGGGCTGGAGGGGTAAAAGCAATGATATATTATGGAGGTGGAGGGCTGGCTTATCGATAACGCAGTTCGGTAAAAGCTTCCCTGTTTGCCCGTTGAGCCTGTTAAGCGCAACAAGGTTAGTGCCGTCTGTGCCTCACTAAACTCATCCGCCTAGTCGGTATCGCAGGCACGCGGCCAGCAGTGATCGACGCTTTGCATCAAGCACCTGCAGCTACTCTGGCAACGCTTCCCTGTTCACCAAACATCAACATGGCGTCTTCTGCGCAATCAGATCAGGCTGCTTCTTCAGAACCACAGATTGATGCTTGGGAGAAATCAAAAGCGACCTTCCAATCGTATGCACTTCGCAATAACACGTACAGAGACATGAACCCTGCTAATGTGTGCGCCAGGAAACGAACATCCGAGTATTACGATCCCTGCCAGGAGTTTGCGAACAGGAGTATAAAATGCATGCACAGGAATAAAGGAGACAGGGAGATGTGCCAGGACTACTTTAAGTGAGTGATCCTATTTGGCGACGGTCGTCGCCACAAAAGGGCTGCCTTCATCGAGGTTGGGCAGCGATGGGATGCATGCCTCAACTGCAAAGAAAGCGGTACGGCATGAGGCTAACAGCACGGTCACTCACACAGAGCCTACCGCGACTGCAAGAAAGAATGGGTATGACAACTCGGTTCCAAGCACATCACGCCAAAACACTGACGAATTTGACCAGACTGCGAAACGGAGAGCTGAATCGGGCTCGTGGTTCGGGTGATCACTGAGGTCATTTATTGGTATTTTGGGAGCTCTGAGGCGAATATGGGAGGATTGTACAAAAGCAGAATTGATATCTCTGTCAAGGCATAGCGCGGGAGTACATATACATGAAGACCCGAAAGGAATTTCTACTCCAAACCACAGTACGAGAGCTGGTCCCGTACCGGACTATATTGTAAGAATAGGCAAAAAAGCACCAAAGGACGCATCTAAATCTCCTTTAGAGTACTTCTGACTCAGATCCTACGAAAGACCGAGTCTCACTTTGCTGTAGCCAATACCTGTAGCTTCCCAGATTTCTGTTCCTGCCTGACTCGCAGGGTCACGCAACATTGGATTTCAGCCTTGCCCACACAACTTCCCCGCATCGTAAACTTCGCGCTCATAATTCCTCCTCGAGGGCACGGGTCCCGTTATTCCCTGAACATGTCCGATCCGAGCGTCAGCGAGCGAAGAATACGGCCGATTCAAGATGCCGTTGCGAGTGCGAACTGGAAGCAGGCACTGCAACTTTGTGACAAATGGTTCAAGAAAGGTGAACGGTCTGACAGGTTTCTGGTAAGCGTTTCAGTATCGCTCACTTCGTAGAATAGCCTTTTCTAACCATGACAGGCCCTGAAAGCCTTCGTCCTGGTGAATCAGCCAGACAAGACCCAATACGATCGAAGCCGGGAGGAGGTTCTGGACCTCTGCAAGCGTACACCCCCCCTCACAGAACCAGAAGCCATCTACCAACTTCAAAATGCTCTCAAAACCCTGTCGCTACACGAAGAGAGTCCGAAGCTCTGGGAAAGGGCCCTCAGCGTTAAAAAGGATGACAAGGATTTGTACATGAGATGGCTCAACCAAGCAGTTGCAGACAACAACTGGAAGAGTGCTCAAAAGGTGTGAACATATAAAACCAAACCAAGCAAAAGACCATCCACCTCAAAACAGCAAGAAGGGACTGGCTGACATGGGGCCATCCGCCAGGCCACCATGGGTTTGCGGAATTCCTTCTCCAAGGATAGAGACTACGAGTTCTGGAACATCCTCATGTGCCACCTGATCCATATGCAACAAGACCTGCCTGAAAAGGAGCGCAGCTTGTTTGGAACCCTTGCGTATCGCATGATATCCAAGGCCGCGGAGGCGATACCTAAGAATGAGGTGCGTCTTGAGACCGTTTTCGGTAGAAGCGTCGAAAGACTTACCGGTCAGCAGGAACAAGCATCTTCTTCCACGAAAGCAATCGCGGAATCGGAAGAAATTGCGTTGCTTGTCCAAGTCTTCAACGCCACGGGCCATGTCAAAGAGACGGTCAAGCTTTTGCAGGGACAGTCGCTGAACATGCAATCTCGAGTCGGCAAACAGGACCCTCAATTAGTGCTCTCTCTACTGCTTGATTCTTTGCAGGTATCAGAACAATGGGACGATGCTTTCAAAGTGTGCCAGGATCTGTTGTCCCAGCCAGAACACCAGTCAGACGACCGTATCTGGGATCTATGGCTGGAGTCACGATCGAAATTACCAGAGGGCAACGGGTAAGGCAGCTGGAAGACAACATATGGCTACATTCCGCTGACATCTACGCAGGCTAGACACACAATGCAAAGAGCTCCTTGATTCTGTGTGCACCATCAGGCCGATTGTCCGCGCAGCTTACCTCGCGAAGCTGAAGTTTCAGCAGACTCAGGACGACGAAGCCAAGCAGGACGGTCTACTGCAAACCTGCAAAGACTATTTCGAAGCGTTTTCATCCAAGCCCTTTTGCTTCGATGATCTGAAGAAGCCTCTCCAACACCTTGACAAGGCTCATTTCGATCAATTCCTGCACACAGTCTCTAGTCATGAGGGGAATCTGGTACGGCTGTTCGGCCTTAAATTGGCGTATAGCACACTTCCACCAGATGCATCCAGCTCGGAGCTCCTCGAATTCACGCACAGAGCATTACAATTATACCAGACGTCCTTGTCCGAGAGCCCTCCGTGCCCAGAAGCAGCCCTCCTGGCAGTTCTCGCAATCCTTCGAATTTCTAGCAGCAAAAACTCGCCTTCGATGGCCCTGTTCGCCGTCATAGTTCTTCAAATCACTCGCTTAAAATTCGAAGATTATTACATTCTGACAATCCTGCTGGTTCAGCTCCAGTCCCATCTCGGATTACTTTCTTTAGGTATGGACAACTTTGTGAAACTCAGTGTCAAAAATCTGCAGTGGGAAACAGTTGGACATTGGATCCTCACAAGAATATCCTCGTTGCATCCAGCCTCTGTTACGGCCCTGCAGGACGATTTTGACCCGCTTTGGGCCGTAGACACAGGACTTACAGTTCTGGAGAATGCGGATAGTGCTTTGGTCAGAGGAATTCGCGAAGGCTTGCGATTCAACAGTTACTCAAACATCCAGAACAGCGTGAAGATGAGGTCGGAGATTGAAAGCAGCCTGGTCAAGCAGATCTATGCCATCGAGGAACGGAAGATCCGACGATGGCGAGGGGAGCCTAATGACCATACAGTCTTGCCACTAACAGATCCTTCGAAACCCCTTGTCGACAAACGAGATTTCGGGTACATGCCTGACTATCGCGAAGAGGACGGTCAACTGCTGGCGAAGTTTCGATGTGGATCTCTTCCGAAAGAAAGATGGATACACGCCATGGCACTGTTTGACAACATAGCCACTTATCTGAAAGCAGAGGTGGCATCGCACACTTCCCTGATAGCAACAGCGTACGAGAATCTGAAACAGGCTCAACTCCACGTGTCCTGGCCTGCTACAGAAGACCTATCGGCGGAAATGACAGAAGCTGAACAAGCCAATCTTACATGCCACAAGATTCTCGCCCAGGCAATAACTTTGTTCAAAGAAGGCAGCATCAGCACGCCTCAGGCATCTCAACAGAACACCTCCACATCTCTTTCAGACATCCTTTCCGACCTCAAAACCTGGCTTTCGTCCGCACTCGCGAGCCGCAGGAATAGTACCTCTGGGTCGATCATTGCAGAGATTCGTGTGCCATCGTGGGAGGATTTGCACGAAAGCTTCACACAACTCGAGACGTTGCAAGTCATTGCAAACCTCACTTCCCTGGTGACCAAGAAGACCCAAAAGTCCGCGAAATCTTCGAAGGCTGCTTCAGACTGCATCCCCAAGGACCTGATCTCTGAGATACAGTCACTCATCACCGACCTCGAATCTCAAATCCTTACAGATGTCCGGGAGCTGAAGTCATCAATCAACGAACCCGGCGTGCTGGGCAAACTGGTAGACTTGGGAATGGCACGACGCGGCAGCGACGCCGAGGGGAGCGATGGTACCGAAGGAGACGCTCTCCCTGGTGGTGAGAAGTGGGAGAATTTGATTGAGAGCATCTGTGACGAAGTCACGATGGAGACCATCTGCGGGGAGATCAAGGATAGCTGGGATGATGCACTCGATGGGGTTTTGGGCGGAAAGGGCAAAATTCGGGTTGGAAGATGAGTAGGAGGCCAGCGAAGACGACCAGGAAAAGGGGTTGAGGATAGAAGAGACGAGAAGCGGGATAAATGGAGAGACGGAGACAAATGGAAGAGAAAAAGCACGGACTACCGATTAACAGAGGTACTGAATACTGTATTAGGGCGACTGGGTTCACATTCGTTCGTTGTGCTCTACACTCTATACCTAGGTACCAAGTATGCATCCTGCGATTGAGAGATTAGAGCTTCCTTTGGCACGTTACAGGAACAGGAGCTGCTGGACACCCTATATGTAGACAGACATATGACATATGTGGGGCGCTCGCTGTCTCCCTCTCACATACACTCTCTTACTGGATGTAGGTGTTGGTCTGGTGAAGCTCATATTCCGGGTGTACTACACACACAGGTATGCAGAGACAGATATACAGACAGATAGACAAATAGAGAGCGAGAATGCGGAGGCAAGGGAATCAAGAGAGGCATCACAACGCCCCGAAAGTTTTCCATACGGGAAGAGTAATAGGAACGCCATATGCCATTTACCCGTTTTCCTTGTGTGTGCTAGATGCTGTTCGCGCACGTATCCTAACCCTCCGCCCTCCTTCCGCTAGTATGCGTTCTTCACATACAGGACAGACTCCAGACTCTGCTCGTCGGCCCCGTCATTTAGTCTTGCCGCCCCTTCAGGAGTCTCTTGGTCACCTTGTCCTTCTCGATGATGTAGACATGTGCGCCCCAGCCTGACAAGGCATCTCGATCCACGGCGTTCAGTAGGGCTTGCGAAATGGTTTCAAAAAGGTCCTCCGGTTCCTGGTGACAAGCATCGTTAGACTCGACATTGCGGCAAACATGGGGATAAATATACGCCCTGCCGTAGTTTGCATGGCAGATAGACAAGAAGTGGTCTGTAGGGATTGTGCATGGATGTGTCTCACCAAATCCGGCTCCCATAGTCCTTCACACGTTCCAAACAGCTGATCACTCGCGGTGCCCGCCACGATGAAATCCTTTGCAAAGTCAATGCAGCCTATACTGTCAAACCCGCAGATGAACGGTTTGCCCGTTGTGTGATTTATCCCTGCAAGCACTGGGCTCACAAACCAAGGTCCAAACCGCCGCTCGTACAGTGAACTGCTGACCAGGTTGGCCAGTGTCTGGGGTGAAATGTTTCGTTCTTCGCGTAGTCGATACATGTTGACTTTGTACCGGAAGGTGTCACTGACTGTTTGTACATCGGTCGCCAGTCCCGTCAAGCCGAGAAAGACACTGGGTGCATAGTTGAATATCTTGGGGAAGTTGTTTGACACGGTCAACGCTTGCATGCCCAGTCGCAGGTCGCAAGCTATGGCAACGCAGTCCTTTCCGACCATCGCAACACACGCACCACCATCTGAATCACATATTAGATTGTATAGGAGCACGAGGTCAGAAGAGAGAAGTACTGATATCGAATGGAGAGCTCTGTAGTGGATTGGTTAGCATTGAAGAGCGACTGTTTTCTGACGATGAGGATTGCTTACCATCCTGCAGACGAGAAAGATTCAAGTAAAGGAGAAGGAATAGGATTAAGACAAGCAATTAACAGGGCGTTGAGTCAAACGGCGGATGTAAGTGACAGGATCTGGATAACTATCGATCTCAAAAGGCCGGAGAGGGATGCGCAGGCACAAAATGCAAACGCGTTTCCGCAGGCACGAGGCTGATGCTCAACTGAGGCTAGTGAGGCTCAAACTGGAGAAGCTGGCGCTAGAAGCTACAGGGGCCAATAGGCGGCAGTCTTACCTAATTCCTCCGCCATGACGCTTGGTGACGCCGACCTTTTTGCCTGCGGCACGCCTGCACACGCCTATGATGGCCATCTTTCGCCGCTACTGGATGGTTAGTAAAGCTGCAACAGCATCCAACACATTCCATGATATGGATAGCAGCCTGCAACCCCATCTGGGTGGATGAACACTTTCTAGCCACTTCTACCAAACACTCTATTCAACTTACAAAGCCCGACCATTACAGCTGCTATCCAGACCATCCAACTCCCTCCAAACATAAGAGTTATCCCCTCCACGCAACCCCACCAGGCTGTCGCCCTGACGATCGAAAATGGCTTCTCACGTAGTGGTGATCGACTCGACGGCTCGAAGAGCCACAATCAAGACTACCCCGGGTAAGAACTTGAGTGAGGTTCTAGAAGAGGCGTGCACGAAATTGGGAGTCAACGCCGCTCAATATGGTTTGAAGTACGTTTCATCCTATGGATGCCTGCGCACACCCAGGTTGACTGATAGTTACTTTGCAGGCATAATAACAAACCCGTCGACCTCTCCAGAACGATTCGCCTCTCGGGTCTTTCCTCAGGCGCAAAACTAGAACTGGTCCAACTCTCTAAATCGGCCGGCGTCGTCTCAATAGCCCTACAATTGCCGGAATCAGAAGCACGAGGTGTACCCAACGCCAGGCTTACAGACAAGTTTCCCAGTTCGACCACATTATGGCTTGTGCTCAGGAAGTTCGAGGCCGGCGTTGCGGGCGGGGGTACTCCCAGTACTCGGAATTTCACTGCCAGAGGGGTACCATCAGCAAGCCAGGGCAGTTCGGGTGGTGGCAGACTGTATTATGAACAGCCGGTGATACAGGTCATGAACAGAGAATTGGCGTCGTTTACGGACCTGCAAAAATCTCTGGCACAACTGGGTCTCAACAGCGGTACAGCTCTCTTGAGGCTGAGTTTTCGGACAACTGAAACTCCGCTAGAAGAGGCCATGGCGCAGATACAAAGCTATTTCGAATCGGTCGAGGGAACAGTTGCTCAACCGCCGCGCCAACAAGAGACTTCGGCTTCAAGTGAGCCACAAACTGGATCGGCCGAGACTCAGCCAGAGTGGAATGAGGAGAGACCCTCGCAGCTCCCCCCCCAAGCCCAAGAAGAAACATCAACATCATTACCTTCACAACCTGAAACTTCGAGTTCGTCAACGAGTCGTCCGGTCTCCGTATTCCGGCCGCCGAGCTCATCCACTCCTTCGGCCGCCCTCATGTCTCACAACGAAGCAGACTATACCCCCACAGTTGAACACGCCCAGGTCCACCAAAAACTGCTACAGCAGAACTCAAGAAATGTGCGGCTACCGACAGAAGCCGAGCTTGCAGCCCAAGCTCAAGAGGAAGCAGCCAAGTGGGCTGCGGTAAAGGAAGTCGAGATAAAGGTTCGATTCCCCGACCAGAGTGCGGTTAGCGCCAGATTTGAGCAGGGCGACACCGCAGCGGATCTGTACAACTTTGTACGAGAGTGTCTGGAGGAGCAATACCGAACGGAGCCTTTCATGCTTCGAAATCCAGGTATCAGAGGAAAGAATGAAATCATTCCAGACGACAGCGCGAAGAAACTAATCAAAGATCTTCAGCTCAAAGGGCGAGTGCTAGTCACATTTCAATGGGATGACCATAAGGCCAGTCTTCAAGCGAGGAGCATAAAGTCTGTACTGAAGGTGGAGTTGAGGGAGCAGGCCCAGGAAGTGAAAGTGCAGGATCTCCCAACTGTGGATGTCGAGGCTGACGAAGAGCCTGGTATCAAGGTCAATCTGGGGACTAAGGACACAAGCGAGGGACCCGGGGATGGCAAGAAAAGGCTGCCAAAGTGGCTGAAGGGTTTGGGCAAGAAATAGTCCACCTCAACAAGAACAAACGCGCCGGACTTCTGGAGTCTGAATCACATGTGATACCTTTGAAGCTTGGAATGCGCACCGCTCAGACAAAATCCAACACAGACTTCTCGTTGTGGGGTTATAGACAGGGAGAATATCCCTGTGTAGTTGCACACTCGCCCTTAGCTTTGTTGGCCAGGTGAGTACGATACAACAGGTACCTACCAAGTACATCAGGATGTTCAGCCTCGTCAAAAAAGCTGGGTTATCTCCGACAAGCTCCGACGCTAGTAACCTGCCGAGGATCCCCCGCCCACAATCGCATTTTCAGTTTTGACAAGCAGCCCGCACCGAAACTGGGATTGGGAACTATCTCACCAAGTTCAAGTCTACAACGCCCGTCTACAATCTCCCCCGTCGATCGATTTCGAACTCTTCAAGATGCCTTCCGAAGTCACCGATATCAAGCAATTCCTCGAAATTGCCCGCAGAAAGGATGCTAAAGGTGCGACACTGCAACTCTGAACCAAATATCATTTCCTGCGACATGTTTCCTCTTCAAGTGTGGTGCCTGCACTGCCAGTGCTCCTGCGCCTGGCAGAGTACCTACGACGCAAATCATGCCCTGAAACCCCCTCTGAAAGTCCATCCCTCTGTGAATACAGGCACTCATAGCGAGCGTCACTTGCCGTACAATGAAGCGCAGTCCCAGTGATTTGCTAACTCTGTTACTGCGATATATAGGTGCCCGCCTTAAGAAATCCTCAAAGTCGAAGGACATCAAGATGAAGATCCGATGCAAGCGGTACCTGTACACCCTGATCCTCAAGGACTCGGACAAAGCCGACAAGATCAAGCAGAGTCTGCCGCCCAGTAAGTCTAGCCTCATCCCGGTACAGCTTTGAAGAGCGAGGTGTTTGGGGGGCATATTTGTCGGGTCTGAAGTGCGGTTTGTCTGGATTGGATTGGAGAAAGTGGCATAACTCGCAAAGGGCTGCCAGCACCGAAGACTTGCCCGCCGATGGAATTCATACCCCTCCTGCACTGGCCCGCACATAAATATCTTGCGCGAACTTAGCCCTGGCTAACACTCACCTTTCTACTTACAGCGATGCCATTCGTCGAAATCGGCAAGAAGAACAAGAAACCCAAGAAGAACTAAACGTCTTCCGCTTATTTCCTCCAATATCGCTCAACTTGGTCAAAAGTGGAGGGGGGATTGTTATGGTATCCACGGTCATGGATGGATGGACAGAAATGATGAACCACATTTTATTTCCTGTGGACCAACTCATGAAAAACAAACCAAGAGAAATGGATGGTGTGACTAGGGACTAGGGACTAGACTTGAGAGGAGCTTCTCGTCTGGCTGGGCTTTGTAAGGCCACGAGAAGAATCAAATGAACTGAACTGGATGGACATGGCTGAAAAGGCGGTCGGACATCTTGTGGAATGTTCAGAGAACTAGGAACTAGGGGCGAGACGGGATGAAAGGCCTGCAGGTCTGAGGTTCTTTAGTACCTTACCCGTAGGTAGTCTGCGGCGCACACGTTGCTCGTCAGAATCGCGAGGACATCCTCGAGACTCCAGACATGCTTCTTCGCAATACACCAAAAAAAATATTCCGCACCCTAATGGGCACCAGGCGCTGCGCTGTATACTTGTAGTATCATAGGCGAGGTAGACCCATACCCTGTAAAGCCCATTCTGTCCCATCCGCACATCTACCCTCTCCCTCTCTCCTGTCCCTGTCCTTTCCGTCCTCACGGACCTCACTCCCTATTCATGGCACGAATACCGCGCCTCGCGATACCCCACCAGAAACCCCTTGCGCTCTGCCGTGTCCGCCAGCGCATCATGATTACCCTCGACACGCGCGATCAGATCCCCCAGTTCCGCGCGCGACAGACGCAGCTCGTACTCGCCAAAGTAATTCGGGTTCTCGCCCGTCTTGTGGAACGCCAGACTCTCAAAGAGGGCAATGCTCCGGAGGTTTGTGCCGCCGATTTTCACGGACAGGTGCGTGAAGTGGGCTTGTTGTCCGGGGATCGTGGTGGTTGTGGTGGTGGGAGAACCCGGAGCAGGTCCAGGGTGAGAGTAGTGCTGGAATTCAGCCAGGATCTCGCGCTCGTGTTGCGTAATGTACTTGAGAAACGCGAGCAGCGCGGCTCGGCCGTACCCCTTGCGTTGTTGGGCCGTCTCTGCGATCATGAGTTCGAGTTCGCCTGCCACGAGGATCTCGCCCTCACCCCATCCCTCGCCCTGCGCGGAGTCGTCTTGGGCCGGAGCGGTAGAGATGAAGAGGTTCACGTCTCCGACCATGGCGTCGACCTCGCGCTGAGTCTCTCCATCGCTGCTCTCGTGACACTCTACCCCATCGGTGTCGGCACGGAAGTGTGGTTGACAGACGATAAAGGTCAATTTATCCCCATCGTCGCGCCAGCTGCGTTGCATGGCATATTCTTCTTCAAGCGTCAGGGGTTCAGACGCCGTGGCTTCTTGGATTTCCTAATTTTCTCAAACTGTCAGAACCAAAAAAGCCAGTATATTATCTTTCGTTGGGTCCAACCCCTGGCCAGGGGGCAGGCGTTGTTGATATCAATACGTACAGGATCCTTCATCCATCCGTGGTATTTGGGCACATGGTGCGCCGAATAGGGTACCAAAACCACTTTCGTCGTGGAGACGCCTATGTATGTACACAGATAGGTTAGAGGAAGAATAACTTT